AGTAGAAAAACTTTTCTTGAAAGTTCCTCAGCACATCCAGCGTGTCGAAGTCTGGGTGCGTCTCTTGGAACTGTCTGATATGCTCAACGAATCCGATCTCAAAAAGCTGCTCGATGAACCACTTTTCGTCCTCAGTGCCAATCATAGAGCACATGGCGCCAATCGTTAGCACCCATGTCTTAAGCTGCGATAGTCCCTCCCACTGACTATGTGGTCCATCGACTGAGCAGAAGATGGCTCGTAGTTTTGGTGCAATCAAGCTTCCCAATCGCTTCAACCCAAGTATCACCATAGACGTCAAGATCCACATGAGTAACCCCACACGGAAGGCGTCGAGGCTAGATCCTGGATATTCCAGGGCCAGAAGCCGGTATCGAACTGCTGCGTGACGCCACTGCAGCCATCTCGCCGCATGCTTTGACGCCTCCGGTGCTCCCAGTGGTGCATGATGCAAAACCCAGGAGCATTCCGCCGTCTCTTGTATGATCTCCACTAGCTCCTCCGGGAAATATCCCTGGAGACATAGTCGCTGCAGAGCAGGCGCAAAGCGGATCAAGTCTTGTTGGGGAGCAAGCTGTAGCTGAGGCGGAGTGACAACCCAGTATGGGCCAGGATCGTATTCACATGGCAGACTGCACGGCTCCAGAAGAACGGCAGACATGTGCCCATCGCCAATGATAAAAAGCTCCTTCAATGCTGGGTCTGGTACATGGTGGAGGCCACCCCAAGAATCGAACAGCACTTTTGCTGCTTGCATATGTATCTTCGCTGCTTGATAGTTCTGTCGGTAGGCATCTGCTGCATACAGGTGAAAGACAATAAGCAGCAATTGCTGTTTTGGTGCAGAACTGAAGCGCCGTCGCACGGCTTCCAGCGCGTTGCCCATGTACTTGTCCGTACCCTGACCGGGGACCATATCCACATTCTCGATTCGAGCGGCCATGCTAGCGAGCATTGCATTCATTTCAACTTCACTCTGCATGGCTCGCCGAACAACATCCACAGCGGTAGTCTGGTACGTGTATGATCCTTCTCGCGAGGCCCACGTCTCAGCGTGCCACACGCTGGGATGGAAGATTTCGCAGAAGTACCGACAAAGCTTTGCGACATGTGGGTCGAGTTTGACGACCGATTGACCGAAGGGGTCGAGCGAAGTCGAAGTGATCTGACTGATATCCCGGGGAGTTTCGACGGCACGCGGGGAGTTCAGCAACACAACTGCTTTTTTCTCGACGGTTGGCCCGGCCAGCGACTTTGGTGTCTTCGGCTTGGTGGATTTTCTGCGAGTCGAGGCTGGTGATTCAAGATTTTCCCGTTTTGGCTGCTCGGCGAACTTGGCGCGCGGCGACAGTCTAGCGGGTAGCCATATCTTATTGTCGGTATCCTCTTCTTTGGGCTCGGTCTTTACCTTTGGCGGAGATGGCGAGGAGTCGACCAGGTCGGGATCTGTTACAGAGGTAGTAGGCTTTTCCCGGGTCGCATTCTTCCTCGCCCTCGTCCCAGCGCGACTGGCGCTGGTGGCAGAGCGCCGATGCCGACGACCACGCTGGACATGAGAATTGATCGAGGTCTGTTCAGCGGCGCTGCTGCGGGTCAGCGAGGTGCTGGCGGCATCCTTATTGACGAATAAGAACTGAGGTGGCATCTTTTTGAGGTCACGAATGGAGTCTTTGTGGGGATCTTCATGGTCGGCGGCGGCCTGCATCAACGGATCTCGAGGTCATGGAGGTTGAAGCAATCCATTATCGATATCTGGGTCTTGCTTCCTGACCCTTCCGGGGGGAGGGCTTGAATCGTTGGTTCTTGCGAGTCTCGGTAGTGGTATGATGGCACGATGGGCAGAATTGGCGAAGCGGAAAGACGAAGCGAGGCCGGTGGGCACGATAGGTGAATAATCCGGGGGAGGCGTAAAGCCGGATGTCAAGACTCGGAGCTGAGGACTCAGGAGAGTGGCAGAGGAGTGAGGGGAACTCGAGACACACAAGACACGGCCAGGAGGATGTGGCTTTTAGCCTCGGGTCTAGACGCCGGGCCGCCTCACAAATCAGTTGACGCTAATCCTAAGTTGATGTGCGCTAAGCGTCTTTGGGTCAAGCGTTGTACAACTCCAGCTTCCCATCGTCATTGAATGATTGAATTATCATCAAGACTCTCGGTGGCTCTCAGTGGCCGTCATTCCATTTGAGGGACAAGGGGCAGAACTGCAAACAGATCTCTTCAATAGCTCATTTCTGCATAAAATCACATTCAGCCCTGTTGCGAGAATATCTCCTCTCAAAAGCAGTAGTGTATTTCCCTCTCTCGTTTCAGCGCCGGGCTCCCCCCATATACCCTGTCGGTCTGCCTCGACACAGCTCATTGTTTGGCTCGTTTGCTCTCAGCAGAGCCTCCACCAAGTCAACAAGGCCACGAGGCTGATCAGACTGTCAAGCCTCATTCTCCCGGTTGGTGAACTTCTCATAAAACTCCAGGGTCATCGCTGCTAAGAAGCACGGTATCTGTTTCTTCTCTTTCACCCAGAAATTGATCAGATCTCTGATTTCTGCAGCAAAAGGACTGTCGGAACCGCCGCTAATCTTCATTGTACCATTGTCACCATCGAAAATAATGTAATGGTCGTCCTCTTCGTCCTCGCTCTCATCTCCCAGATCATGAGGTCGCCCATAATACATACTCGAAACCTTGGCCTTTCCATTAGGGAGAAAGTTGACTTTGTACCCGAGAACGCTTGCAATAACGTCCCGGAATTCTGCAGCCTTTTGGGTCCAGATCTCTCGCTGTCGTCTCATCCTTTTTTCTTTCTCGGCGACAACCATTTCCATATCCTTCAGATCCAATTTGAGCGCATCAACCGAGGTTGCTGGGACCATCTTGACTCCATCAAGGTCCTCACCCCGCAACTGTGCGAGAAGCGCCTTGTTTTCTTCCTTGAGCGTTCGTAGAGTTGATAGTTTGATCGCTTCGGCTTTGGCAGTAGGATTGTCCCGAAGCTCCAATACTCGTGTCTTGGAGCTCTCTCGTAAGGCTTTGAGTTGTGATTTTGTCGCTTGAAGGTCTGTGGCCAACATCTGTGACTGTTGAGCGGTCTTCTGCAACGCGATTTGGAGATTCTTGTTCTTTCTCAACAATGCACCGAGTTGTGAACTACCGCCTTCGCCTTCAGGTTCTTGTGAATCTGCTGGTCGCTTGGTTCCACGAGGCTCGTCCGCAGCTGGGGTGCTGGGTGCAGCTGCAGCTTCAAGTTTTGAAAGATCAGAGTGCAGTGTCTGCACTTCAGTTTTGTATTGATCCACCAAGTTTTCCAGGGCCTTGATTTGTTCCGAGCGTTGTGCATCGAAGTTCTGGTTGTCCATCAAGACAGTTTCCTCGGTATCGAAGGTCTTCAATTGTGCTCGAAGATATTCAACCTCTTTGACGGCAAGGACCCGTTGTCGCTCTAATCTTTTGTAAGCTTTGTTGTCTTGACCCGCGTCTGATTGTGCAGTCTTCGTGGATTTCAAAGCCTCGATCTCGGCGGTCAAGGCCGCTTTGTCTCTTTCCTGTGCCCTGATTATCTCATCCTTCTCGGCGATATCGCTTTCGACGGTGCCCAGTCTGTCCACAATCGAAGCGTACTCTATTCGTTGTTGGATAAGAGCTTTTACCACAGCTTCAGGGGATTCGAATTCGCTCTCTTGACCGTCGCGCTGCAGGAGGCTTGTCCAGGTTCTCTTTTCGTCCTCTAGAATTTCTCTTTGTATCTGAGCTTCACCCAGCTGTCTTTGCACGTCCCTGAGCACTTGAAGTTCGATTTCTAGACCGTGTTTCTGTTCTTCAACGACCTCGACGCTGCGATGTGATTCGCGCAGTCGCCGCAGCTCGGCTAGTTGTTCTCTGTTGGTTGCCTCGAGCTTTCGAACGTGGCTCATTTGTTCTGAGAGCTGGTTTTGCAGAACTTGCATCGCTTCGCTGTCACCAGTGTGCGACTTCAACGCAGCCACTTCTGCTTCGAGACTTTCGATTTTCGAATCCCGTTGAGACAAGCGCGCCTGCGATGACTCAAACTGCTGAGTCAATTCTTCCAGGTGTTGTCTGACACTGTCCACAGTCTCTTGAAGAACCGCACGCTTTGCCTCGACATCATTGAGTTGGTACTTGTTATGTCTTTCTTGATCCGCGAGGCGTGCCTGGGCGTCCGCAGCATCTTCCTTGAGTGAAGCAGCTTGATCCTGCAAATCGCGTAGTTGTCGTTCTAGCGCGGCTTTTTCGTTGATTCTCTGGTCCTGCAGTTCGCGCAATTCCTTCGCGAGCGCCTCCTGTCGCTGCGTCGCCTTTTGAGCGGCGCTCTCTGCCGTTTGGTATCTCTTGAAATCGGCATCGGCCCGGAGTTGTTGTTCTCGTAGCTCTTTCTCATGTTGTAGCGCCAAAAGCCCTCGTTCTTGCTGCAAATTCTTCAACTCGTACTCAAGGGAGTTGATTTTCGCACGCAGGTTCTCATCGTGGGACTGATCTGCCCGGGAGACAGAAGGCTGACGGACTCTGGACTGTCTGGAAGCCTGTGGAGGGTTCTCAACTGCGCCGCCGGTAATGAAATCGTATGACGGTTGTGTGCTGGCAAGTCGATTTTGACCGGCTGCGGAAGCCGGTCGAGGTAACGCTGATTGCCCACCCGAAATGCTTTTGCGACCCGAGAGGGAAATTCTTGAGGTCGATAAGCGCATACGTTTAGACGCCGGAGAGCTCATGTTGCTAGGGCATTTAGTGAAGGAAGAGGGGTTCTAGTCAGGAGATGAAGAGGTGAAGATCAGGTGAAGAAGAGGTGGTTGTTTACACCCTCTGTTTTCGGCCTTGGGAATCAGCCAATGAATCATCCGAAGATATGCCGAAGGATCTCGCCGCGCTCGTCCTTTACAGCCTCACCAGCCATCTATCCGCCTTTCCATCAGAATGCCTTGAGTTCATCATGCTTTGAAGCACCTTCCTTTGCCATATCACACCTAAAGCAGGCCCTGCAGATCTCATCACTCCCCACCAGCCAGCATTTCTGTCTCGCCAGCCTTCTTGACGGCTCTCAGTCGCTCCTATCCGGTCGTTCCAGTACATAGAGTACAATCCTCGCTAGTGCTGAGGCACCCTTCGCGTTTGCTCGCTTGCAGTATGCACAATCGCCAACGCATGCTTCGTCTTGAAGACTCTTCCAGGTGATGTTTTTGCTGATGAAGGTTGCAGCCATCTCTTGCACCTTGCACACCATCAAATACACCGTCTGCACATTTGTGGTCTCCGCATAGGGTGTAAGCTCGTGAAACTTCAACTGAAGCATCAAATACCCATACTTGTTGGATTGACAGATCAGAGGCTTTTTGGCTGTCTCTCTTCCAATGCATTCCACTATCATCAGTAAAAAATTCGACTTGTACCGCGTCGGGGTCGCATTTATGAGACCTGTGGTTGTCTGAAGATCTTTAAGTCCAGGGAAATACTAACAACGAACCAATGACTGCACTGATGTTTTCAGAGTCGCTCATTTCCTTGAGATCTCGCACAAGATATGTGGCGCCTGAATAGATCAGGACTCTCGTCATTTGCCAGAATAACCTCTCGAGACGGAATGCGATGGCAGCATGTAAAAGTATCGCAGCATCGGAAAGCACCACCCACTGCATCCCAGACTGCGTAGCCCGGTCCTCAGCCACGGACCGCTGTTTCCAGTACTCCGGATAGATCCCGTGGAAACATTCAATAACACTCCAGAGCCTCATCAAAATCCACGGTCTCAGTGCTGGAATGCACAGCCACTTGGCTGCAGCAGTCGTCAACTTGATCAACTGCATACCATCGAAATGGTCGAGGTCTTACTTGTGGTGGAATTTCGAGCAGACTTGGGACGATCTTTGGGTCATCCTCTGGCAAGCAAATGACCTTGGTATTGCCTTCTCCTTCTCTGCGTGCGCGAGAATAGCACCTTCCGCCAAAACGATACTGAAACGATACTGACGACCGCTCCAGAAACCCGAATGTCCAGGACATCATTGCCTGTCGCAACTCTGAAGACAACATCACCGCCTGGCATAATTTGCACCAGTTTGGCGCTGCGCTATTCTTGTGCGTTCTCCTCAGGGGCCATTGCGCCGGCATTTCGTTTGCCCTTTGTCCCGGTACTAGGCGAAGGGAGGTTGGCATCTCTGACGTTGAGCTCAGCCATGGCTGTTTCGATGGGATATGCGCGAAGGACGAGGAGCAGAGGAGGCAGCAGGTTGGCAAGTGGATGGTGAGGTCGTGTTGAGTGGAGTGGTAGTTGAAGGTTGGAGCCAGAGTATTGGGCGAGTGGAGGCAGAGAGAAGAAAGTGACGGTCGAGTGAATTTCCAAGCACAGCATTCACTCTACTCCTATCTAAAAGACGCTCGTTGTGCACGACTCCTTCCGGCTACAATTACCTGCCTATATAAGTGCTCTGTCACTTGACATATCGATGGCTGGACATAGCAGCATCTCGACAGCTTCAACGCTGTCCGCTGCTTCAGACACACACTTCTTGTTCCCGTATTGCCATTCCCTTCATGGTCGCCAACTCTCGAGCCGGACGACACGTGAACTAGGAAGAGATATATACAGAGCCGCGAATTGGCAGACTGCTCGCACCACGGGTAACGCGTGGGGACTAACGGATGGAGCTAAACACACAGCTTTCTACTACAAAGAAGGAACCACTGAGAAAAAGTGAGATGGGTAAAATTGTAGTATGACGAAGCGAAAATATTTCCAAGTCTCTCGCAACAGATGAAACGTGAACTTCGCCCAACCTCCCCTCCTCCCCCTGGCCCAGCACCCTTCATCAAAACATCTCCATAAGCGGTACTGCGTACAAAAGCGCCCCTCCCCCCACAAACCTCCCGATCACTGATTTTTGGAGTTTTCTGGCAAACACAGATAAAACAGGAATCAGCAAAACACGTCTACTACGCTGAGCGTGCTCTCAACCTAGATGGCGATGACTGCAACGGCCCCTGCTCCGAGCAACGCTCCCATCAAGGCGATACCACCTGTAGGTCTCGAGGCAGCGGCGCCGGTGTAGACAGCGACCAGGGACGTCGCGTCAGGGGCAGGAGCATAGCTAGAGATCGCGGGCGTGGGTGTAGGCGAGGCCGCGGTCGCCGCTGCGACGGGGGTGTTTGCTGGCGTGTATGCCGCCGGGGGCGCACCGCCGGGAACATATGGCGGCGAAGAACCGGCCGCACCACCGCCGTACGTGGCTGCCGTGGCGGCAGCGACCGTGGCCGGGGCCGAGTTGCCGGGGCCGCCGTGCGGGTATCCTCCACCGTGTCCTTCTTCGTGGCTGGCAGGCCCGTAGGTGGTGAAGGGCCGGAGGGGTGCCGTCGGGGTGACTTTCCACGGGCACGATTCTGTCAAGGTGGTACCCTGGCACGTCGAGCATGGGTAGACGACAGCGGGGGCCGCAGTGGGTTTGGATGGGCAATGAGTCTGCAAAAAGGTGTTCATGTCAGTTACTGACTGTGTTGTTCTTTCTCTGTAAACGAGCTTTGACTTCATTCGCCAAGGCGGAAGGAAAGGTACTGACCGTTGTCGCCGTGATGAAGTCCGTCACGGTGATTCCCTGGGACTGGAAAGCGCACACGTAGCATGGCATGGATGGGATGGGAGTGTTGAAGATGGGCTTCTGGAAGGTTGACAGCACGCTCGTGGTCGTGTACGTGACTGGGTGAGATCAATTAGTATAACCGTCCAACACGACGAAAAAGACCATGTGGGGAGGGGAGAGAAAACCCCAGATGAGAGACTTACTTGTGCTGGTAGGGTCAATGGTGCTGCACTGCTCAATTTCGGTCACTGACACGATGATCTCAATGCCGATGCACTGTGATCGAGGGATCGAGGGCGTGACGTAGGGAGGAGCACTCCAGGCTCTTTTCGATGTCGTTACCGTCACAGGGGAGGCCGTGGTTGTCGTAGGTCTCGGGCTTGTCGACGAGGTGGTCGTGTTTGAGTAGGGCTTGGATGTGGTGATCAGGACAGATGTTGTGAAGGTCGTGGTCGTGCTTGACGATGACGTCGAGGTCTATACAAAGGTCAGACAACGAACATTGGCCGGGGGCAAATATCCTTTCTCATACCGTGGTAGAAGTAGTTGAGCTGCTGGTAGTTGTAACGGAACCACAAGTACCATCTCCATTAGCAATGCCGCTTTCACACTTGCAGCTCTTGGAACAACCATCACCGTCCGCAGTGTTGCCGTCGTCGCACTCTTCGCCGAGAGAGGGATCAAACTTCCCGTCACCGCAGCCGGCTGGTGTTGCGCCACGGCTTAGAATGTAAGGCAGCCCTGAATGGCCATCACCATAGTTCTGGGTGCCGGTGGTAATGACGCCGTCTGCAATTGCCAGGGCTTGAAACCCATTCTGTCCAACAGAGGGATACGACGAGAACGCTTCGTGGGTGCTGAAGGACCAGTTTGACAGATCCTCGTCGGTAAGAGTGTCGATGGCGGGAGACGAGGCCACAATATGAATATCATTGTACCCTCCTGCACCATTGTTGTCTTGGCCAAACACCTTGAAGTCACCGAAATAGGACAGTGCTGGTACAGGAGTATCGAGCGCCGCGGTGTTATAGTACTGTGACAAGGAGAGATAGAATCCGGTCTGGGAGGAGCCCGATGGAGAGACACCAGCGGCTGCAAATTTGATACTGTTGTCAATGAGCACAGAGGCCCCAGCGACGCCCCAATTGTCGTGGTTGGATTGATCAGCACCTGAACTATGTCAGCGGTATAGGTGGCCTCAGGACCGCGTGACTTTACCGTGGATAATGACATTGCCAGTGACAGCAGGACCCCAAATGGTGTTTGTGTCTTCCAGGACCTGAATCAGACTCACGTCGCCAGAGCCGAAAGGATCACCGATGATGATTGCTTTGAAGGCCGCAAAGTCAGATGTCTTCATGGCACGCCATTCTGTTTCTGTGACCACTTTAGTAGTGAACCCGAGAGCAACAGCATGCTCTTCCTCATTCCCGACAAGCTCGTCTAAGAAGAGGAGATCTTCAGCGATGACGGAACCAAAGACCGCGAAGCCGGCTGCAACTGTAGAGAAGCGCATGATTGTTGGAAAGGAAAAGCAAAGAAATCGACGATATCCTCTGGACTTTGTAACGAGTGTCTGCAGTTGGAGGAAACGAATGACTGGGACGAAAAGAGTGAAAGAGAGGTACCGACTGACACTAAAAAGATTGAGGGTTGTGACGACTCGCCTTTTATTGAGAAGACACCTGGTCCGAGCGACAACCAGAGAAGAGGCCGCAATGCCTCATTTTCAGGAGTAACATGGTAATTATCGAATGGAAATCGACGTTGCTATACCCAAGGACGCCACAGAAATCCAGACGCAGGGGGATGCAAACAGACAGGCAAGACAAAAACAGCAAACCTCAGCGCTCTCCTGAGATTCTCGTATAGACAATTGACAGGTCCTGTGATGGCTGATGGCTGACAGACAACACGAAGGTCCAGCCGTCTTGATTTTTGAGATGTTGTACCACCAACCGGCCAAAATGGAAACTGTGGCGTCCCGTCCAGGCTGATTCCAGCCTTACAGCCTTGTTCGACAGCCTGCAGTCGGTAAGACACTAATCTCCCTTGCAGTCCGATATACGAGTTTCGGCCCCATGCCTGAGCTGCCATGAGTGCCAAAATACTGGCAAATGAGGCGCATCCTCCAGATCGGCCATGTTTCTATGGGAACTCAATTTTTCTGTCTCCAGTCTTGGCTGGCGTCAGGAGTCAGTTGCCAACCTTACCACCGACTATTTTCGGAGGAGGTATTGCTTTGTGGCAGTCTGTGACAGGGAGGCAGGGCAATCGAACGCAGCCTTCTGAGAAGTGACAGGCGAGGAGATTTTATGAGTTCGGGAATTGGACGAACGAAGAGCGATGCATCTCGTATCGAAGCGCTCGCGAGTAGGGCCAAGAGGACGTTACTTCAGCAGAGAAAGCAGCCTTGCGCGATTTGACGCCTGGATCTGGCTATCCGGAGAGATTCGAGGTCCAGGTGAGCAGCTGGTTGGCTACAGAAGGAACAATGAGGCTGGACGATGCTTTGAAAAGGGGACATCGACGGTAATGAGTTTACAGAAATTGCGCTAGCCTAGTATGGAAATATCGTTCTTGGCAACTCATTTGGGACAAGCTGAAGCAGACAGCAAACTTCCTTGTCATCGTGTAGGAATATACAGATGACACAGGGTTCCAGAAGACGGTTCCCACATGTTTGTCACCGAAGCTCCTCGACGCGGGCCTGCACAGTTCGATATGTTGGACACTATTAGCTGGTAAAAAAGCCCTACCCGCCTCCCATATGATATTTCCGACAAGTTCAATGCCTTTCTCCACGGTATCTGTCATCGATAGATGAAATACTGGGAGATTGGACCTGCAGCCTACACGTTTACAAGATCCATATCATGGCTGAGGCCCTGCATGATGGGGATTAGCTCTTGCTATGACTTGGGAGGGATGGCCCCAAGACCAACAAGCCTCGGTCGTCCGTCGCACTGTTCGAGACTGTGAGACACATCTGGACGGTGTGGAAGGAGTCCAGCATGACATCGAGATCCGCCGCAGAAAGTGAGATTGGCCTTGCTCACACGAGCCAGCCTCGCCGCGAAATTACCATGTTGTGGCTTGCGTCCATGGCGAACACTCTGTTCCCGCCTGGGAAAATATCGACTCTGATCTCCTCTGTTTACTCGCCGAGGGAGTTTCGTGGTCGCCAGTGTTGCCCACCGTCCTGTGGATTGGTTATCGCTCACAGGGCCGTCTGCCCTCAATCGGATTGGAACCCTATGTCTGTCCATTCTCAGTGTTTGCGCGCACAGTGTAAGATAAAGCAAGGAGGATGTTAGAGCAAGAGGTCTACTTGATCGGAGACGAACAATCAGCACTGAGAAAGGGGAGACAAGAGGTGAATAGAATAGGCAGGAAAGTGGGATGTAGCAGCAGCTCGCTGACCACGTCCTACATTGCCCTGGTCCCACCATATCCATGGTCTTCTCCATCCACCTGTATTCCGCATTGGAGCCTTCGGAAGAGAGAAGAGTAGTAGTCGCCATCCCCAGTGATGAACTTGGCGTCCTGGATACAGCCAACCCCTCTTTCTCACCAATCGACACATGTATTGTCCATCCAGCCCATGACTTCTTCACCACTTACGTCACCTGGGTTTGATTCAAAGTAGCTCACGTCGAATTCACCCTGGTGGACACATCAATGCCCCTCGTGGCGATGTGTGGCGTGGAAGTAATCCTCGCTACCGCTGTTGTAACAGAGAAGACAGGCCCCGCAAGTTTCCTTCATATACCATTCAACAACCTCGAGCAGGTCCCCCACAATATCTCTCCGGCAGAAGAGACAGGGACTGGCAGGGCTTGCGTTACACTCTGTGCGCTCCAGTACCGTACTCCAGGGTTCCGTGATGCAGAGACTCTGAACATCGAGCATCGCCCGAGAGATTGATTTCTTGTATGCCCAATCTTCCCCGGGTTTAATGCCTTTCTTAGCTAAATAAAACATAATAGCGCTGAATTTCGCAAATGAACAGCTCCGGGTCTCCATCGCTGACGCATCAACTGCACCTGCATCGAAATCTCTGCCAACGCACTCCAAGATACCGTCGAAGAACTGCCGTGATTGCAGCATGGATTCCTTTTCAAACCTTTCTGGAGGACGGACTCATCAGAGACATGCCTTAGCTGCCAAAGAACTGTGATACATACCTTTAAAACTGTGTACCCGGGATCCAAGAGCTGACTCGGCGAATGAAGGTAATGTTGGGGAGGTGGAACGTCGACCCTGTAGGAGCAAGAAATGCTTTGTTGCGAACCAGAACAAATCGTTCAATTTGAAAACGGCGGCGACACTCATGCACTGTTCCATTGTTAGCTCGAGTGAATCGTCTTCAGGAGAAATCCAGTTGTGATTCATTGGTGTCATGTTGCGGTCGTAGCCCTTGAATTCTTCTATTATACCAGCAAGCCTTGCGGAAAGCCACGGCCTCAGTGCTTTCACACAGAATCGCGCATCTGCAAATTCTACTAGCTTCACGAGCCTCGAGCCGTCACAATGATCGACATTCTCAGCTTTATGGTGAGCAATGTTGCAGAAGTCGAGGACAGCCTCTGGAACGTCTTCGCGCAATTCAATTTCTCTCGACCTTCCCTCTGTGAATGATGACGAGAGCATACGAGAGAAGACTCCCGACGCAAGACTGATTACTGTCCCCGAGACTCGTATTTTGAGGGCATCGTCCCCTCGGCCAACAGCGAGCAGGACATCTCCATCCGGGACGACCTCAACGAGCTTCGCGGGGCGCTTCGTGGGTGCTTCGTCGACTTGCGGGCTCCCAGGACGTTTGCGGCTGGCGCTCATGCTGAAATTGAATCAAGGTGATCTGGGGGGCTGTCACTGTCGCGTTGATCAGCGGTTATCTGGTGAGTTCTAAGTCTCAATGTTATCGCCTACTGTCAGCGTGGGTGGCAGAAAAGGAGGATGAGCGGGAAGAAGAACTGACCAGTTGTTGCGGTTGAAACTTTGAAGTGTGTAAAAAGAGAGGGACCTTCACAAATTGAAACTGAGATTCGAGTGAGGTATCTATCAGGAGTCCGAGGATGAGAAGAGATTCACAGGATAGAGCGAATGTGCCGAAGGTCGATTTGTAGTCCGTACTATGGCCGGGCAGGTGAGTGCGGAAGTGTGACAGAGAAGAACCATAATCTCCATCGGATGGGCTCAGGTGCTGATAACCCAGAAGTCGGTCTACACGTTCCAGTTCAGACCTCAAAGTTTGGACTGATGAGCTGGCGATTGAAGCTGGGAGAAAAATTGTATCCTTGCAGTTGGCCACGGCAGGTGCTCGTCCAAGCAGAGTTTCAAGCGTATTACCATTGCTCACAATGGGAGCGGTGTCAAAAAGAAGCCTGGCTCCATGAGATAAGGAGATCAGTTGCTCATAGTGGGCAAAGCGACCATATCAAAAGAAGACTGCGAGGGTTTCTCAGCCTCGCTCAGGTGACTTAGAAGTACCATTAGAGTTGACATGTTCACGTGCACTTCTCTTGTAGGAGGAATGCTCAAACTGCAACGCTGCAGCAGCGACCTTCCAGGGAACAGAGACTGCTGCGTCCAGACCACTGAAGTCGGCCCATTTGCGCATCTACAACCTCCGAAAAGGTGGTGGACACAATCCAAACTCATGTGGACGTCTGCTTTGCGCCTCTTCGCCCTGCTTGATCAGCACCGGCACCCCAATCCATTCGACGTTATGCAGAGCATTGATGTTGGCGGTATTAATGGGATGTGAACAGAGGGATGTTCTAGCTCAAGGGTCATGGAAAAGATTGCACAAGTCAAGGAAACAAGTCAAGTCACAAAAGAAAACCAAGATGGGAAATTTGACTCGAGAGAAGGACAATAAGAAAACCACATCAACTTCACCTCGACTCCAGCTAGAACCATTTCTTCTTTTCTCTCCAATATAACGTCCTTCACCAACGCCGTGTGCCTGTCATTCCGTCGGGAAGATACCACCACATTGACATCAATCACTTGCGACACCCTGGGATCGCCTTTCTGCTCTCAAGCTTCAAGCCTCGAGCCTCGCCCTCTTATCGCCACCATGTTCTTCTACTCCTCCATAACCCGTGCCTTCATAGCCCGTGTCAACTTTGTCATATCCACTCTCAAAGTTGCGTTCTGTCAACTTCTGACCTTCCACGTTGAAACTCTCCGACTCTCCCATGTCGGCGTTAAACATGTCCTCTTTCTCCCGCATAGGCCCTTTGCCCTTTGTGTCCACGCCCCTGCTGACCACATTGTACGCCCTTCTTCTCCGATGCCGTCTCCAGCACAGACATCCACCGGTCAAGAGGGCGAGGAGGACGATGGCGCCGACGACAGCAATTATAATGATGTACTTTGTGGCAAGACCGTGGCTGCTGCTGGATGACGCCGATGCAGATGGAGAAGGAGAATTGTCAGAATTGAGCCCGGCGTTGCTCAATTTCTCGGCCGCATGGGTGATCTTTGCCGGATAGCGAGTCGATGTGGTGGTAGGCAGGCCAAGCACGGAGCTGACGGCATCGTCGCCGACCCCTGCTTGAGCCAACTTGCCCAGAGCGTGGGTAATCTTTGGGTTGTTCACGCCTGAGGTCGCTGTCGCCTGATGATCAGTCACCAAGTTAGGCACTGCACTTTTCGCGCCTCGGATGCCCAAGAGTAGGACGTCTGGAAGGTAGTCCATGTTTGAATATTATTTTCGAAGAAGATGCAAGGCCAAGTAGGGGCAATCAAAGGGTTCAATTAACAGGTGGATTGATCAACGAAGGAGTGACTCGGTTCGAAAGGAAAAAGATGGAAACGAAAGGGGACTTTGCCAGCGAAACCCAGGGCACCAACGCTTCGCAAAAGGGAATTCCAAAGATCGTCGCGAGAGCAGCGAAGGGACGGTATATCAGGGAGACATGTGGCGGCTCACGCACAGACCGTAAGAGCGTTTGCCAGGCACGGGGGAGCTGAGCATAAGCACTTGTTCAAAAAGCTTCAGCACCTCAGACACGGCGTTATTGGCCGTCAGGGTCTTGTAAGCAGAGAGTGCCTGATATAGTAGCAGAACCAGATTGCGCAGGATGTGCCAGGCGCAGGATTGGGCAATTTCGTGGACCTCAGCCCCCGACCCGATGTCAGCTTTGCCATCGAGGCCATTCAGCTCAAACCGCCCCCAGAGCGAACCGGTTCACCAAGCTTTGCACAAGCCTCAACGCTCGGCAGAGCTTGACCCAATCTGGTAAACGAGAGTACGATCCTTTTACCCTGAATGGGGAATCATGGTTTAGCTGAGCACATGCTAAATAGGTGACAACTTAACTCCTTATTATTGGAAGGAAGGAGACAAAACCTCAAGGATACGGAGGCCGAGATTAAAGCCTCAAAGCTAGGTACGTATTTGTCCATGTACTTGCACCTAACTGCGCAAAATGATCGTGAATCAGGGAGACCAGTATCACGTGAACTTCCTGACTCGCGGAGATGAACCCTGAGAATGTTGTCACTGTTGTTCTGCACATGTGAAAGCGTGTATCGTGGTCACGGCAGTCTATCAGCTGCACTCTGAATAGATGGCTCGTGGCACTGGAAAACGTGCAAACAAGGCTCCCGCGAACTCGACCGCCCACATAAAGCCGGCTGCGAGCTCGACCTCTGGTCCTCCGACTCCTTTCCAATACGCCCCAATTTCACTCAGACCCTTCCTTTCGACCCTTCCCACGGACCACATATACCTAGTGCACCTAGATCACACGCCGCCGAATCTCAAGAAACGTGTATTCGTCGTCCCTGTCCTCCTCAATCTTCTCATCACCATCGGACTTTGTGTCCGCTTTTGCTATGCTGTTCCCGTCTACCTCGAACAAATCATCACAATTTTCGGCTATGACACTGCATATAAAATCGACACGAAGACTGCAGGAGCGGGGGAACTCTTCAACGCTGTCACTTCACGAACGGCCTTACTCATGCTCGACTACGTTATATTCGGTTTGATTGGAAGCTGGCCCAAGGAATTTGTCTTTGGCAGCAGACTGTTGAGGTTCGTTGGTCCATGGGAATGGAGGAGAACAATAGGTTTCAGAGATACGGAGATAATTGTTCGCAGAGGAAGGAATTGGGATACACCGTTGCTCGTCGGGGACACTCCAGATGAAGGAAAGAAGTGGAATCTGGATGACGAATTGACCATCAAAGTCAAAGTCGACCCGGCCATGCGCACCGCAACTCTTGTAAAGACTGGATACCTACTCCTTGACAAGGATTGGGATCTCGACTTCAAGGCGATGCTGGACGCGCATAAGCTAGTGGAAAAGGGTGTGATTCAACTGGGAGACCTTGAGAACATTGCTCTGGTATACTATGAGAAGCAATGGTTGGTTTGGAAAGTCCACGAACCGTCAGACGTTATTGCCGATGGACAGCAGCAGGACAGCACTGTCGAAAGATTCAGACGCATTCTTGCAGATCTCGGCGCCGAAGCAGTCTTCTTCCGCTGGATCGAGATCGTCCAGTTTGAGACCTCGCAACCTGGCGGGTTCACTCAAGGACGACAGGCTGAGGCGATCCGCGAACTAAGGACTCGCCTGGAAAAGAAGGGGGTGGATTACGCCAGGTTCTGGGAAGATATCGGTGGACAAGCTGGTCTTCCTGGTCTTGACGAGCAAAATCAATAATGATCTACGACATGACTGACGTTGAACCACCCTACTAGTGCCCGACGTTGCACTTGTTCATGTAAGATGTTGGAGCACGTGCCTATTCCACTTGACAAGGCTGTTGTGCAGCCTTGTCTTCTGCACATCACCCCGTCCCTGACACTCTACCCCGCATCCGATTGATTCCAGCAGAGAAAATATTCCACGCCCAATTCTCTGTCAATTCGCAAATCGCTTTCACCTCCTCAGATTTCCTAAACATGTCGTCACCCAGCATCTATCTCGCCGTTATCGGCATCGGCGGTGTCGGCACCTGTTTCTTGTCCCAGATTTCCTCGCTACCTTCTCGCCTGCGCCCCTCACTGATCTTTCTCTCCCGCTCCTCGAAACAACTCTACAACACGTCTTACTCCCCCGTCTCTCCCTCCGACTTACAATCCTCTTCCTCCAAACTCCTCTCTGTCCCCGATGAACTGGTCAAATATCTCTCATCGGCTCCGGGCAAGGTTATACTCGTCGACAACACCTCGTCTCAAGACGTTGCAAACGCATACCCATCGTTCCTGCAAAAAGGGATAAGCGTCGTGACGCCGAACAAGAAGGCCTTTTCTGGCAGCCTGCAGCTCTGGAACGACATCTTCTCCGCGGTCGATCAGGCAAATGGAAAGGCCATGGTATACCATGAATCCAGCGTGGGTGCCGGCCTTCCCGTGATATCCACCTTGAAAGATCTGGTCGCGACGGGCGACCAAGTCACACGCATCGAAGGTGTGTTTTCAGGAACCATGTCGTTCCTGTTCAACTCCTTTGCCCCCGTCGACGGATCGGGCGACGGAAAATGGTCAGACATCGTAAAACAGGCGAAAGAGGCGGGCTACACGGAACCAGATCCAAGAGACGACCTCAATGGCATGGACGTCGCGAGGAAGCTCACCATTCTCGCACGCTTGGCCGGGTTGAAAGTTCAGGGCCCAGACGCTTTCCCCGTCCAGAGTCTAATCCCGAAAGAGCTCGAGTCGGCGAAATCGAGCGACGAGTTCATGGCCCGTCTGCCGGAATTCGACGAGCAGATGGAATCGTACAAGGCCCAAGCCGCCGCCCAGAACAAGGTTGTGCGATATGTCGGGTCGGTGGACGTTGGCAAAGGCGAGGTCAAGGTGGGTTTGGAAATGGTCGAGAAGGGTTCCCCGATCGCAGGCTTGAAGGGCAGTGACAACTTGATCTGCTTCTATACCAAGCGATATGGTGCGAATCCGCTGGTCATCCAAGGGGCGGGTGCCGGCGGCGAAGTCACCGCGATGGGTGTCACAGCAGACCTGATCAAGGTGGTCGAGCGGCTGGGATAGACAGACAAAGACACTGCTCCTTCCGACAAGGGATAGGAGCCGCCAAAAAATAACTACAAAAATGTTCTTGCCTGCAAGATCCCTCCGTCTAGCTATTAATCTCCGTCCCAAATCATGCCAACCTTGTAGATATGTACCCAAGATCGATGGATAGACGTGTCTCGAGGGAACTCATTTATTCGATGCGGCATTTAAACCAGAACAAAAACATATATTGACATGAACCTCGTGAGATAGATCGGCGTATTTACGTGAAGACAGTGCTCCCCTTCTTCGATGTCTGCAACTTCCATTCCGTCGAACCTCGAGCCTATCAGCTTCTGAGGTACTTCTTGACGGCCTCCCCCCACACGACGCCGCGTTTGTAAAAGTGCATGGCGGGCACGCTACCCTCCTTCAGCCCATCAATGGCCTGAGCGAGTTCCTCGCCCGACCCTTCCTCCTTCACCTGGGCGATCGGATATAGATACGTCTTGAAGGCGAACACCAGCGCCTTACTCTTCGGTAGCCTGTGGAGCGTCTGCCTCTCGCACCTCACAAATGTCTTGTCGACGTCGATCTCCTCGAGTTCCTCGACCTCGTCACCCTCGTGGGCGTGGTTGGTGCCGCGCCCAGCCGCATAAAGTTCCGTGTTCGTGGTGACGGACCAGTTGACCCGGCGGACGTATTTGCCCACTTCGAGCCGGGAGAAGAATCGATCCATTGATGCTTCTAGTTTTTGGGGGTAGCCAGGCACAGGGTCGTGGATCTTGGCGAGTCGATTACCAAGTTTCTCGCGGGGGTCGAAGCCGCTGGGACAGCAACAGACGTAGGCTTCGAGAACATATTTCGTGTCTTCTTCTTTGCTTTCGTTATCCGCCTCCTTCTTATCCATGCTCGGATCCCCTTCTTCGGGGAGCAGGAAGAGAAAGTCTTCGTCCAGGGTTCGTCCGAGAGTCTCGAGAAGCATTTTGGTCGATGTGCGAGGTGACGGTTTCGCGGGAAACAGTGCTTTCGTCACCAAGTTTTCCAGCATAAACGTCTTGCCCTCCTCATAGTCGGTTTCGTGTAGTTTGAACATCCTGGGGAAGCGCAGTGGCAGATAGGTGCCAAAAAGAAACTGGTAGAGTTCCACCACGGCGGGACGAATGCGATAGTCGTCATTTACAGCAACGACGTGCTCACCGTGCTCGGCTATGATTTTACGACGGTAGGCGACCCGGTCTGCGTAGTTCCTGTCCATCACTAGTAACTCCGAGGGTGGGAGGTTCTCAAGTGCTGACTCGTCAGATTCGGCTCGTGTAGAGTCAGCCTCTTCTTGTAGGGAATGCGAGAAGAGAGTTCAAGTAGGCTAACGAAGGGAACAGTGGCGGATCGAACGAGAACTCACCCATGGTCAAATGGTATTTCGGTTTGAAAGGTCGGATACGAAGAGGTTCCGTGGTTTCCCAGTCGAACTCTGGTTGTTCTTCCACTGGGGGGAACTCTGGGGCTTTGAGATAACGATTCTCAAACCCGATCTTCTTTGCCGCTTTCTGGAGGAGAGGTCAACGATGTCTGCGAAGCGAATAGCTGGGAAGGTCCTGAGTGGCAAGGCTGACACAACTCACATTCTTAACTCTCACTTGGTTCAAAGCCAAGACAAGGAAGACAACCAGGAGAATGATGTTGGCATAATTGCTCAACGTGAACAATGAGGCGGCTTTGAAATCCTC